TTGTCCCTGGAAGTGTACCGTTAGAGGGTACTGACAGTGGGCAGAGATGAAGGGGCCCCAGGACACACAGATAAATGCACACAAATAAACAGATTCCCCATATTTTCATATATTTTCTGAGGTTTTGTCTTCCCCACCACTTCCCATATTTTCCCATATTTTCCAGGACATCGAAGATTAATTGTGTCTGTGTGTTTCTTTCCCTCCTGAAGAGAGGGCCGCAGAAGCGGTTCGCCTGAGACTTCCTCGCCATGCATTTCGGAAGCGTGCTCGCGCCAGAAAATGCCGGCTACTCTTCTCTTGGTCTGGGCGGCCACGATCCCTGGCAACAAACGCGCGAAGGGGCACGTGGCCGTGCTCTCACCCCTGTCCAGGCTGCATCTATTTTTCCTAGGTTCCTGGCATCGCTCGGACGTGTGCGTTTTTTCCTCGGCGAGGACCATCGAGGAGCATCCTTGATCATTTGGCGAAAAAACCACGCACGAAACCGAAAAAAACACAGGGAATGGACGTCCGAGCGATGGCGAGGGTTTCCATGGGATTGCGTAGGAGTGCGCGTTTTCACCATCCGACTTCCTGCTCCTCGATCCTCCTCTTCTACTTTGCTGCTGTCAGGGTGCTCTGCCGGTGCAGCTGTGCGCTCTTGGGGAGTGCCCTGGCGTGGGTGTGGTGATGGCGATGGTGGCGCGATGGTTGTGGCAATGACGGTGACGTCGACATGATGGTGGTGCATGGTGGTGAAGGAGATGTGGTGAACGACCAATAGCAGGAGTAGGAGGAGGCGGGGGCTGCGGAGGATAAGGAACACAGACAAGAGCAGCGGGAACAACACCAGCATTGCAATTAGCGTTGGACGAGTGGCAACGTGATCAGCAGGGATGAGTGACAGCGTAAGTAGCATGGAGAGGGTATATGAGTGAGTGGGGGTGGTTAGCGTGCTCATGATAGTGGTGAAGCTGAGCATGATGAAGACGACAACGATGAGTGAGTATGAGAGTGAGGACGAGGATAAGTAGTATTACTTGACGGTATGTTTCAGGTTTGTCAGTACAGTAATGACTTTGATGATTGTGATGACGATGACGACTATGATTCGTATTCTGATGCTCATGATGAGTCGCCTGCCGATATTTATGACGATGCCGATGTTGTTGCTGATGATGGTAATGACGATGGCGATGTCGATGTAACATGAGAAGGGCGGCAACTTCGCAGATGAGGGCTCGGGTGAGGATGACAGGGGTAACGTCGTCGATGATGTTGGTAACCCTTGTGTCGACGAAAAAGACTGCGAGGAGAAGCAGGATGAGGATGAGGATGAGGATGAGGACGAGGATGAGGAGGATGAGGATGCGGATGAGGATGAGGGTGATCATGATTATGATTATGCTACTGCTGCTGATGATGCTGATGCTGATGCTGATGCTGATGACGATGCTGATGATGATGATGATGATGATGATGATGATGATGATGCTGCTGCTGCTGCTGCTGATGATGATGATGATGATGATGATGATGATGATGATGGTGATGGTGATGGTGATGATGATGATGATGATGATGATGATGATGATGATGATGATGATGATGATGATGATGATGAAGATGATGCTGATGATGATGATGATGATGATGATGATGATGATGATGATGCTGCTGATGATGATGATGATACTGGTGTTGATGATGCGTATGATGAGGCCGCCTGCTCTGACATAGGCCGCGGTAATCGGTGCTCAGGATGAAACTGCAGCCTTCGCCGAGAACCGTCAGGAGGACCACCTTGCCCTTCCCACTGACGCCTCTCCATGCCCACGCTGTCGCGCCTGTCTAACATCTCGCTCTCCACTCCCTTCAGGGAAATGTCCCAGAACTCGCGCAGCTCATCTGCAGACGCTGCTATACCCTCTTGCTGTGAAAACCTGGTCATTGCTTCGGACAGCGCGCGCAGCCTGGCGTTGGAAGAGCTGGCAATCGACGAGGTTGCCTGGGAACTCTGCGCCACAGACTGGTCTCGGGGCCCCCGATCTCCATGAGCCACTGGCTTGTGCGGGGCTGTATAAATATCATCGCAGACTTGAAGGACAGTGGTGCGGAATGCCCAATTCGAACTCATGACGAAGAAAACAATCACCGTGCCTGGCGCACTCTGCAGGCATGTTGCCGCAGTCGCCGATGCCACCTACCGACCACATTTGCATTTGATCTGGATGCATCTGACAACCACCACCTATCAGCCACTCGTGCCCAAGAGACTGCACTCTATTGACGTAGGACGCGATCTCCGTGAGGATGATGATGTTCTCGGGGCCGTACTCCTGTGTGTGATACACATCGACAGATGGCCATGATTCCTTTCTTACACGAAGTATGCACCAGTTCGCCAACCACTCGGTCTGGCCAAAGCTGACCTGACGCCAACAGCGGAGGCGATGCCACTTATAAGCGTTACGGCGCCAGCACGGCCACACCACCATGTGATCCTCCGCCGTCGTTGGGTGTGGCCGCTGCCCACGCGCCGCGAACACCCGCTGCAACCACTCTGGATTGAAAATGTGGAAGCTGCTCATATGTCCTAAGATGCTCCTGGGCCAAGACAACCATTGAGGCCCCGCTCAACGAGGACGTCGTGGACTCGAGCATTGCCCCTGAGGAGCCGTATGATGTTGCAACAGTTGTGGCTACTGTAACCATTGATGAACTAATGAGGACACGCAACAGGACTACTGACCTGGGCTGCTTCCGCTGCTGTGTCCGCACGTGGCCGCTGGACGCAGGCCGCGAGCGCATCGCTGGCTCTCTTCGCCTCGGTCCGGAGGTCCGCCTCATCCCGTGGAGCTTCCCCACTGACGGACTGCAAGAGCGCACGGAGAACTTCGGGGTCGTCCGTCGTTGAGTTCGGCAACCCGCTCGCGGAGCTCGGCGGCGCTGGCGGCGCGGGGTGCGCAGGCTGCGCTCGCGCCGCAGGCTGCTGTGCCCGAGCCCGCTTGGCCGCGGCCCTGCGCTGCTGCTCTCAGCGCGATGGGCAGCCTCGGCCCGACGCACCTCCTCCAGCACGGAGGGGGGCTTCTCGGCCATCGCGGGCGTGCCGCCGAAGCGCTGCAGCACCTCGCCGCGCCAGTCCGAGGTGAACCCCGCTTGCGGCAGGAGATGCTCCAGCACGAGGAGCTCTCCCTTGGCCTCCTCGGGCTTGGGGGCAGCTTGCTCCTGGACTCCTCGAGCTCGACCAGCTCCCTGGTGATCTCGCCCAGCTCCTTGTCGGCCTCGTTGACCTCCTTCTTCGCGTCCTCGACCTTCTGCTGAACGGCCCGCAGCAGACCCTCCTGCTTCTCGCGCTTCTTGTCCAGCCGCTGGTGCTTGAACCCAATCTCCTTGAGCCTCGTGTCCAGCGGCTTGCCCTTGAACACTTGCTGCTTGAGCGACTGCTGCTTCGCACGGAACTTGTCACACGTAGCCTTGATCTCGGGATCGGTGAGATCGTTGATCGCCTCGATTGTTGATGATATCTCAGCGAAGTGCTTGCGTACCTCACCGTCTGCTCCGTTATCCAAGTTGCCTTCATCGACCTCCATGGCATTGCTTTGTGGAGGAGGAGGAGGAGGAGGAGGAGGAGGAGGAGGAGGAGGAGGAGGAGGAGGAGGAGGAGGAGGAGGGGAGGAGGAGAGAGGAGGAGGAGGAGGAGGAGGAGGAGGAAGAGGATGGGGAGGAGGAGGGGGACGAGGAGACTTCTTTGAATGTTCCTGTTCCGCCCGCGGCGCGCAGGCGGCGCTCGGAGGCGCCCGCTGAGCGCCCCGCGAAGAAGCGCGAGGCCAAGGGCTCCAGGCGCCGCGTCGGCTCCCCTGGGACAGCTGCGCGCGCAGGGAGGAGGGAGAGGAGGAGGAGGAGGAGGAGGAGGAGGACGATGAGGAGGACGAGGAGGAGGAACATCCTGGGACGACGACGATGATGAGGATGAGGATGAGGATGATGCTGATTGTGATGATGATAATGATGATGATGATGATGATGATGATGATGATGATGATGATGATGATGATGATGATGATGATGATGATGCTGATGATGATGATGATGATGATGATGAACAGGCTGATGATGGTGCCGCTGATGAGGATGCTGATCATGCAGATGCTGATGCTGCGGATTTTGATGAGGATGATGCTGATAGTGATTATGATGATGCTGCTGATGATAACGTGGATGCTGATGATGCTAAT